GGATGTCCAAGGATGTTCATTGTGCCCTAGTCTCATACTCAAGTAGGGCCACCATCCTAACCACATCCACTCGGTGCTAGCCTTGTTTCCCATAGAGTATTTTCATTCACATATGTACTAGAGAGGGTTCCTTTTCTAGTTCAACCAACTCATAGTACCTCTTCCCAAGAAAGGCCCCATTTCTTAGTTATGGCCAATCAAGGTTCATAAGGATAGCTCATTTGACTTTCTTAGATAAGGATTTTCATGCCGTTCCGGCTCCATCCATCTCTAAGTCTATCATCTCACTCAAGAAGGGAACTTCGCCCTAAGGCCCATCCTTCAAGGTTATACATTTACTTAGGAAAGCTAGACTTATGAAAGGGCACCATTTCTTAGTTTTGCCGATTCAAGTCTTGGCCTAGAATTCCTCTTTTAGCATTTATAGAAAAGGGCACCATTTCTTAGTTCTAGCCCACTTCACACATTCATGCATTCAAGACTTTAAGTAACAAGGAGGGACACTTTAGCCTACCAACCAAGTCACAACATTTTCATTCAAGGATACTTCATAATCCAACATCATTTCATATATATACATCATGAGAAAAATCATACTTTAAATCACAATGCTATTCACTTTACATAGGATCATCACAAGATCACATAAACTCATTCACATCATACCTTCACACATAAAGCTTCACATAAAACTTTACATATAGCTTCATATAGGACTTTACATATAGCCTCATTCATATATAATAATGTAACAATACAATAACACTTTCTACAAAATCACCTTATAACCATAAGAATACCTTCACATATTTACCTTCACATAGTACTATAACACTTCATAACTTGATAACACTTTAATTCAATAGATAATGCCTTCAAGGCCATATTCATAATACGATCCATAATTAAACACCTCCACCATAAGTGGATCAAACCAAGCAAGAACAATTATATCAATAATATGAGATTAAGCCAACTTACCATCCTCAACATTAATCAATAGATATAGAAAATCATAAACATCAACAATACAATCTATTCTAAGCATAAATTCATCAATACCCAATCATTATCAACAAACCCATTTCGTAAGTCAAATATAGAAATTTGTGAAATCAAGGGTTCATGAGATTTTTCACTTGAAAACATCAATTTAATATCAACAATATTACAATCCATCATTTAAAACCATTTAATGCAAGAACCCTTGAGTAGAGTAAGAAATAGAAGTTTTTCATAACTTTTGAGAATTTGAAAACCCTTTGAAATTGGTTCTAAAGCGAAAACTAGCTTTAGATAAAGAGCCACCATACCTTAGTATTGAGAAAACCCACGAAAATTTGATGCAAGAAACCTTCAATTCGAAACCCTAGCTCCAACTTGACCTTGGCCTTCAATGGTGTTCTTAAGAGAACCCTTCCTTTTTTTTTTTGAAGAATGAATTAAAACAACACCTTTTTAAAAGTTTTAATACCATATATAGAAATTAGAAATAATATAAAATATACCCACTTTTTAATTTAACTAAAATTAATATTTACGAAAATGCCCCTTAAATTTCCGGACGGACTCCTTGCCAACTGCCCAACTTTCAAAGGGCATAACTCGCTCATACGAACTCGGAATCGAGCAAACTCGGTGGCGTTGGAAAGATCGTTCCAAGGGCTTTCCAAACATAACTGGAACTACTCCTGGATCATCCTGAGCTAGGAGTTATGACTGCTCAAAGTTGGCCAAAAACTCACTGATTTCCACACTTGGCCGAATTTCCAGATTTTGAACCTTTTTTCCAAAAGTGACTACTTCCAATTTATGCTTAAACTTTAAAAATTCATACGTTAGGCTCTAGTTTCACCTATCTATTTTTAGGGTCGCTACACCTACGTTGGCTATGTAGTTTTGTGGGACTTCCGAATCATAAAAGACTCTAACCCAACTTGGTGCTCGATACTACTCCCAAAATAATTAATATAACTTTGTGATCAATTCACCCATTATAAAAAAAGATAGACTTCTTACTTGAAATACTTTTCAAAACATGAGACGTGTTTAACTTCCCAAAAACATACACTTATGAACTTATCTTTCAAGTCCAATAATCAACATACGTACATATATATATATAGGAATAACATAACATTAGAAACTCTTAAGTCTTTATGAAATAGAACCTTTAAACTTTTTCTCAAAACTCAGTTTGAAACACAATGATTGGCTTTCAAAGACTCTCAAGACTTATAGCTCAATTCGTAGGGTTCATGCGGATTTATGGACATGAGAGACTCAACTCGAAGACCTCAATAACCATATAGAACTCATGAATACAACTCTTCTTAAGACTTTGGTTCGAAACTATAATCAATTTCAAAAGAAACCTCAATTTGACTCAAAGGACCCTCTAGAACTTTCCTCTTAATCTCTCTTTAATTTGAAGTGTAATTTAAGAGATATGATTCGGATATGTAGGATCTCTCGATGATTAATGAAGACTTAAATAGTTAATATCAAGAAGAGAGCAAAGAAATGATTGGAAAGAACACACACGGGACGAAGAACATAGGAGAAATGAGCTTGACGACCCTGGCGCATTGCTGGCGCAGGGCGCTAGGCCTCTTATTACCGAAACTGTTTTGTGGCGCACTGCAGATGCGCTGCCCCAGCCCCTCTAGCGCTATGGGCGCGTTGCCCCAGCCCGAGCCTAGAAACCCGACGAACTTTTTATCTCAATTTCCAGCCCTATCTCCTCTACAATAGAATGATTTCCTCCAAATTCTCCTAGATTCATAAACCAAATACCATTCCAATGAAAATCCACACAAAATCCATCAAGAACAACACTCATTCACAAAACCCTCACCTCAAGAACTCAACAAGATTCCATTGTTAAAGAATGAAGCAAAAACCTCAAGAACTTCTCAAGAATTCAATAATTCGACTTCAAGAATGAATCCATGGTAAAAGTTTACATGATTGGCGTGAGGGCGAACAAACCCAAAACTATGAAAGCTTACATACCTCGGATGAAACTAAGTTCTTGGTGAAAATCCTCAAAACTCGATGAACGCTTGAAACTTTCTTCTCTTTCTCCTCTTCAACTTTTCCCTAATCTTTTAAACTCTTTTGGAATGTTTAGAATTTACTTAGCCTGATTAGACCCCTTAGGGTGGTTAGAATGTGTTAGGATAGTGGGGTAAGGAAAAGACCAAAATATCCCTCCTTAAAACAGATGAACATTGCCTAAATTAGAGAGGCTGCACTTAAATGGACATAACTCCTTCATCTGAACTTAGAATTTAGCAAACTCGGTGGCGTTGGAAAGACAACTCGAAGACCTTCGATTTGATACCTCATGGGCCACCTAACTCATTCTGTGCTAAAAATTATAGTCGTTTGAAGTTGACCCAAGAATAACGTCATAGAGAAACTCAATTGGAACGAAAGTTTCCAACTCAACTTTATGCTAGAGAATTTTAGCGACCTTAACAACTAAGAAAATTTAAAATCACTCAGTACTAATCTTATTCACCGTAAAGAATGACTCGAGCCTTAATTTAGAAATTTTCGGGATGTTACACTAACATACCTTGCTTCTTTAATCCCAAGAAAAATGGTGAATTGGAGACTTGATCTTGAAACTCTAGATTCTTATTTCTTAGCTTTAGAGAGAGAAATTTGGGGGAAGAACTTGGAGAGAATTTGAGAATTTTGAAGAATGATTTAGAATGGGCTATTTGGGGGTTTAAAACCTTTATATACAGCTTAGGTTAGAAGGTAAAACGACATTATATTGAGTTAAAATAATTAGGAAAAGACCCAAAAACCCTTTTAAAATAACTGTCGTACTCGACCTACGGACTGTACTGGTCAACCGTAGAAAGTTTCAAAAACCTTTTATATAGACCACTTTTGACGGAACCCTATATACGGCTCGTAGGTCTTCTTACAGATCGTACATACCTAGAAACCCAACTTTAACCCTTAAAATTTTCACCAAGTCTGGGAATCACCTACGAGACCTGTCTACGACTCATACATAGGTTGACAGACCGTCCTGGTGAACCGTAAAAATGATATTGGGGGTTTGATTTAAAATTTTATTTTCCCCAATTCTTGCGGTTGCCATCTACGGCCCGTTGAAGCTTCTACAGTCCGTAGATGGTACTCGTAGACACAGACACCAGTCTAAAAATGCATTTGTCCTTCTTTTCCAAATTTGAGGTGTTACACGGGGTGTTCACAGTTTGAATAAAAAATGATCTAAATAAAAAAATCGAACCAAATCAATTAAATTAACTGATTTTATTTGTATTTGGTTTGGTTTGGTTTTAGATTTTTAAAAATCGATAGTATTTGGGTTGGTTATGATTTTGTTAGAAAAAAACCAAAGAGAACTGGCAAATTATATACATATATTTTATTATTATACATACATAATATACTATTTTTATAAACAATTTTAAAGATCTTATATATGTTTTCATTAAAATTTATTTATACGAGTATCTATGACAATTCTTTGTGGATTGGAAATGTCACTAGTCTCTTCATTCTAGACAAAAATAATGAATTTTCAACCTTTATTCATAGTAAATTCAATGATCGAAAGTTATGTAATGTCAGTCATTCTACTATGTTTCGTTTAGAATGGATTGTTGTCACTTTTTTCACGTTTTGAATGAATCATTTTTTTAATTTTTGTCTATGGTTAATAATCGAACCAAATCGAAATCAATAACAACCGAACCGATTAATATATATTACATTTGGTTTGATTTGATTGTGATAATTTTAAAATCGATTAAATCGATTTGATATTAATTTTAATTTTGATCAATAATCGATCCAAACCGACCCGTAACACCTAGTTCCCAAAAATCTCTATCCCTGTCATTTCTCTACCCTTCTTCAATGACCAAGTCAGTAAAATTCCTTCACGACACAAAACAGAATGTAACCAAACACACACACACAAAAAAAAAACAGAATTAACCATCGCTGCTATGCATCCACAGTTCAGAGCCGGAACTTTCTCTCAAATGGGGTTCACCAAGCGCCCCCGAAATTATTATCCTGTGAGCACCAACCTAGCAAGTACTCTTCCTCCCTCTCTCTTTCTCTCTTACTTTCCTTTATCAAGGTTTAGGCAAATAACAAGAAATCATCCAGTTTCATCTATGTGTTTTTGAAGGTTTTTTTTTTTTTTTTTAATATATGTGAACAGGTGAAGAAGTGGAGAAGAGCATTTACTCTCTTCTTACCCTGGACCGTTGGGGTTCACTCAATCATATGGGGTATAAAATGGCTTCACTAAGGCCAGTTCATGGGAAAATGGCTTTAAAATTCTTGAATTGGTTTATTAAGCAACCTGGTTTGGAGTTCACTCATATTATTCATATGTATGGTATCACGACTCACATACTCGTTAGAGCTAGAATGCATGACTACGTTAAGTCAATTTTGGGGCATTTATCTGAAATGGGTGTTGGGTCAAGTTCTGTTTTTGGTGCTCTAATGGATACGTATCGCCTTTGCAGCTCAAACCCTTCTGTTTTTGATATCTTAATTAGGGTTTATGTGAGAAAAGGTGAACTTAAAGATGCTCTTCAGGTATTTAATTTGATGAGTTCTCAAGCATTTAAACCGTCGGTTTACACTTGTAATATGGTTCTAGCAGCAATGGGGAAGCAGGAAAGTGCTGAGTCCGTATGGTCGTTTTTCAAAGAAATGCTTGCTAAACGTATTTGTCCCAATGTTGGTACGTTTAATATACTTTTACAAGTTCTTTGTGCCAAAGGGAAGGTTGAGAGAGCAAATTGTTTGCTTGCAAAGATGGTAGAGAGTGGTTATAACCCTGATGTGGTTACTTATAATACTTTGCTTAATTGGTATTGCAAGAAGGGAAGGTATAAAGCAGCTTTAGAACTGATTGATTGCATGAATTCCAAGGGTCTTGAAGCTGATGTTTGTACTTACAATATGTTTATAGATGACTTATGCAAGAAGAATAGGAGTGCTAAGGGCTATTTAGTATTGAGGAAGATGAGGAAGAGATTGATTGTTCCAAATCATATTACTTATAATACTCTTATTAACGGGTTTGTGAAAGAGGGGAAGATTGACGCTGCAATGAAGATTTTTCATGAGATGTTGAAGCTCAATCTTTCACCAAATTGCATCACTTTCAATGCTTTGATTGATGGGCAATGTCGAGCAGGCAATCTTAAAGAGGCTCAAGAAATACTGACTGAAATGGAAACAAGAGGTCTACGGCCCGATGAAGTTAGTTATGGGGCTCTCTTGAATGGTTTTTGCAAGCATGGCATGTTGGATTCTGCAAGAGATATCCTCAAGAAGATGAAGCTGAACGGATTATCTCTCAATCAGCATGCATATACAATGTTATTAGAAGGGATATGCAAAACGGGGTCGCTAGGAGAAGTTGTACCGTTACTTGAGGATATGTTTGAGAGTGGTATATGTCTTGATGTTGTTGCATACTCGGTACTTCTAAATGGATTTTGTAAAGCTGGAATGCTAAATACAGCAATGGAAATATTATGTAGGATGTACAAGTTTGGAGTTTTCCCAAATGATGTAGTATACTCTACTTTGATCTACAACTTTTGCAAGCAACAAGATGTCCTAAAAGCAATGAGAATCTATGCAATGATGCACAAAACAGGCCATACTCCTGACACTTTCATATGCAACTCACTGATATCTTCTCTTTGTACAGGTGGAAGAGTAAGAGAGGCAGAGGATTTCATGCGTCACATGTGTACGATTGGTCTTGTTCCCAATTCTGCTGCTTTTACTTCTGTTATTGATTGCTATGGGAATGTAGGTGAAGGGTTAAAAGCATTATCCTGGTTTGACGAAATGATTAACTTGGGTAGACAGCCTAGCTTTTACACCTATGCAAGCTTACTAAAAGGAATATGCAGAGGAGGGAACCTTACAGAGGCGCTTGGATTATTTGATAGGCTCCGTGGAATTTACTGTGCGACAGATGTTGTTGTCTACAACTCATTGCTGGCTGAGATCTGTAAGTTAGGCCACTTCCACATGGCATTAATCCTTATCAATGAGATGGTTCAGATTAATGTGCTCCCTGATAGTCATACCTACACCAGTCTCCTAGCTGGCTTGTGTCGGAAGGATAAGTTGGTCCCTGCAATTCTTATGTTGGAAAGAGCATTGAGTAGAGGAGACCCCTCTTCAAACCGGGTCATGTATACATGTATTATTGATGGGCTTTTCAAGAGTGGCTTGCCTAAGGTTGCCAGTTTCTTCATTGATGAGATGACATGGAAAGGTCTTGCCCCAGATACCGTGGCACTGAATGTGGTGATGGATGGTTACTCAAAACATGGACAGATTGATAAGGTGAGTAGTTTCTTTTATACAATGAGAGAGAGAAGTGAAATGCCTTCCTTGGCTACATATAATATTCTATTACGAGGCTATTCGAGACAGAAGAACATATCTGAGTGCTCTAAGTTATATCAGTCTCTTAGAGAAAAAGGTTTCACTCCAGATAAATTAACATGCCATTATGTGACTCTTGGATTCTGTGAGTCGAGTCTGCTGGATATTGGGGTTAAATTTATGATAAAAATGATGTTGGGGGGAATAGTGGCAGATAAATTCACATTCAACATGATCATCAGTAAATATTGTGAAAGGGGTGAGATGAAGAAGGCCCTTGATCTTCTTTCTTTAATGACTGCCACAGGTGTTTCTCCTGATGGAGACACTTACAATTCAATATTTAAGGGACTGAAAAGAACATTGGACTTCCAAAATTCACATCGTCTCTTGCATAAAATGATCGAAGAGGGTTTTGTTCCAGTTGACAGACAATACTGCAATTTAATCACTAGTATGTGTAAGGTTGGAGATGTTAAGGGAGCATTCAAACTAAAAGATGAAATGGAATTATTAGGTGTTAGTTCTCGTACTATAGCTGAGGGTGCAATTATAAGAGGGCTTGTGCTTCGTGGGAAGATGGAGGAAGCAATGCTGGTACTTGAATGTATGCTACGGGTGCATCTACTTCCGACTGTTGCCACATTTACAACTGTGATGCATGGACTTTGCAAAAGTTCTAAGTTTTGCGAGGCCTTAAAATTGAAAACTACAATGGAGCTTCATGGTGCAAAGCCAGATGTTATTGCTTACAATGTCCTCATAACAGGCCTTTGTGCCGGTGGTTATATTGATGATGCATATGATCTCTATGAGGAGCTGAAAGAGAGGGGTATGTGTCCCAATATTACAACCTTCACGGTTCTTCTCAATGCATTTTGTTCTGGGAATGATCTTGCAAAGGGTGAAAATCTTTTAAATGATCTGCAAGAGAGAGGACTGGTAGGTGAATATTCAAATAACCAAACATTATGTGAAAGATTGACAATCGTGAAGGAAAAGCTAAATGCTTTAAGAAAGAAGAAAAAGAAAAGAAGATAGGTATATTGATATAGAAAGATAACACTGGGAACATTTATCTAGCTTGCTGGAAATGATCTCTTCATAGGGGTCTCATGGCTTAAACTGGGCTTCAATGGTTTAGATCAGGTCTATCTGAGACATCTGCAACTGGAACTTTGGACACTTCTACCATTTGAAGTGTATTTCTATGTTCGGTGTCCTTTTAAGATATCTGTCCTACAAGGTGGATATGAGGATATTGCAGCTCACAAAGTGGTCAACTGTGTATCTGACACTGATCTGTCTGAATAGGTATATGACATTTCTTGGTTTGTTTATTCTGTTTGATGCACCAGGTCTATCTAGTAAGCTTCATCTTCAGTCTGGTCAATTAGTTTGTTTCTGGTTGATATTGCTGGACCTTTATGTTTGGACTCTTTACTTCTGCAGCTTATGTGCTCTACATTGAAGTGCATTTCGTTATCTATCAAGACCACTAGATTGAAGTGTCGCAAATCACACTGAAGCTTGTTTCTTCAATGTGTAAGTGTGTATATCCCTTGCATGTCTTTTTTCCTCAATTTCAGTAAGTATGCTATGGTTAAGAGCAGGATGTTTGTATTTACCTTATATAAAAAAAAATGAAGAGAAGCAGTATGTTGAAAAAATCCTCTAGCTTGGCCAAGTGAGATAAAACTTTAACCTCAACATACAAGGATGAATTATGTGGATAGTGAATGTTAAGAATGAGTTAATAGTGAGTGAAAGTTAGTGGTTAGGGCAGAAACAACTTCCCACCGTAGCTTGCATTCTTACAAACTCTCAGGTGAAGTGGATTTACATATGATTGCTTCTGCTAGCGGTTGTAGTACCTGCATGGGTACCTTTATACTTGTATTTCTGCATTTTTTCAACATGAGACTATGGAAAAGACAATATCCTAATGATCTATGTTTTTTATTGATCCCCATGGTGGATAGATTTTTGCAAATATGCCTTTTATCTTGCCTTCCATCCTGGATACGTTATGGATGTTTCTTGCCATGTTTTTAATTCACTTAATATGAGTAATCTACGTAACATCTTGTGTTATGGATAGGAGTATGGGTACGGGCGTTGGGCCATAACTAATAAATGTGCATTCTAACATATATAAGTGTATGCTTGACAATTAAATGAAGTTATTAAATTAAAGCTAGTATAATTAAATTCTTTGTAAGCTCTTAATATTTTATTCAAATATTTCTCTCGTATAGTAGCAAAGTAATCTAGTGCTTTATGTGAATATATATATGACATAAACCCAAAATCAAACTAAATACTCAATCAATTATCAACCTATACTTCTTAGGCAAAGGTATAGTTAAAGCACCCAAGTTAGGTTTGACCAAATCTGGTTCGGATCCCACATCCACACCCAAATTGTGTCGGATCGACAAGGATTTTGAAGGATCTGAGCAACATAGCTCTGGCTCTTTCAATTCATGGATTAAGTACCCCTTTTTTGTCTCGACCTTCATAAGGCTTCCATGCTTCCATCTTTTGATGTTCCCTCAAAAACTTCAACTTTTTTGCCATTTCGAATAACTGTCTGCCCTGCATTTGGTAGCTTCCCCACCACCGTGTCACCTTCTCTCTGAAATCTGCCGGCCCTCAGCCACATGTTTTCAAAACTTTAATGGGTTGGCATTCTTCTTCACCTGCTACAATCCAGCATGATCATGCTCACGCTTGGCAGGTGATCTGAGGCAAGTCTGAGTTGGAGGATTTGGATCATTTCCAGGCTCAATTCCTCTCAAGCAGTTGAGCAACATAGCTCTGGCTCCTCCAATTCATGTATTAAGTACCTCTTTTTTCGTCTCGACCTTCATAAGATTTCCATGCTCCATCTTTTGATGTTCCCTCAGAAACTGCAACTTTTTTGCCATTTGGAATAACTGTCTGCCCTGCACTTATTAGCTTTTCCACCATCATGTCACCTTCTCTCTGAAATCCGCCAACCCTCAGCCACATGATTTCAAAACCTTAATTGGTTGGCATTCTTATTCACCTGCTACAATCTAGCATGATCATGCTCACGCTTGGCAGGTTATCTGAGGCAAGTTGTGGCTGGAAAATTTGGATCATTTCTAAGTTCAACTCCTCCCAAGCAGTTGATACAAGGAATCTGTCTAACCTTAATCTCAATCTTGAGTTCTCTGCATTGGACCATGTAAATCTAGGAATGGAAGATCAATAAGAGAATTGCTATCAACAAGCTCTGAGAACCTTTACTCTTAACATCACCCTTGGAGATATATACGTAGTCTTTGTATGTAGGAGATTGATAGTTTTTATTATTAAATTCTGCAGAATATTTTTGGGATGAAAAGCATTAGTAGGAAGGATAAAGTAAGCCATCTCGATAGTTCAGTTAACTCAAATTTTGTTCCCATTGATGTTTAGTTGTTTACTGGAAGATGTCTCTGAAAGAAAGGGTCCAAACTATGTAAGCTTAATTTCCCTAAGCAATATGTGCATTATTCCTGCTAATAAAGTTGTCAGGAGGCGAACTGTGAAAAATAGGCAAAAGTGTGCCCCTTGAACTCTCTTAGTCACTTCAGCATTACTGACTAGAAGAAACCTACCAGATGCTTTAGCTTCTTAGTTCCTTTTGCAGTGTTCAGAACTAGCATGATCCATATGACAGCGAGATGCAATAGCTTAGCTACAAATGTTGTCCATCTTTGAGTCTAGGAGTATGCTTAATATTCTTGTTATGATTTGGTTTATGCAGTTACTAATCTCTGGCAAAATACGAACAAATCCTGCCTCCACCTAACTTTCTGAAGAAGAGATAAGGAATTGTTTCAATTGTTGATCATAGTCCTATTCAATTGTATCTTTTACCCTTCTTGGTTATTTGTTGGAAACGGAAGTCAGAAATAGTTTTCAGAAATCAAGTGCCTTGCTGCTAGGTGTCGGTGATCAGGTATTGGACAGTTTATTGACCTGATATATCTACTTGTGACAAGCTTTTTCTTGTCACTTCTTTCTCATCAGGAAACCATCTATGGACTCAAATTTCCTTAAAAGACTGCATTCTTCAGATATTTTGAAACCAGTTTGTAACATATTTCCTCTTTTAAGTTGGTCTTTTCTTGGTATCCAAACAACATTTTAAGAATGTGAATTTCCACTGTTTTCAAGGGTTGTCACTCTGCTTTTACCTTGGACTGATCGAAGTCTCGGAGTATTATATGCTAGAAGTGCTGATCCTAACAGTGATCATTTACGTTCAGCAACTCCAGCTTGTACTCCACTGGAGCTGATTGACGACTTCTCCAACAGTTTTCTGAGACCTCATCATATCCACGGACTCACAATAAGGCATCTCCCTAATATACGCTGCACCACAACATCTTTAACATATGTGGACCTAATAATGAAGGCAGCCAGCCAGATGATGCTGTAGGTCATCTACCTGCAGCCAGTATTTGAAGCAACCAGAGGAGTCTGGCAGAGAGATGGAATATGCAGTGCTCATTTCATTAGCTCCGTTTCTTTCTGTAGCAGAAGATCTCCTTCGTGTTCACATGGCAGACAAAAGATGTAACTACTAACTGAATACATATTTATTGCTAGTGATGATGGTAGATGACAATATTGATTAAAAATGGCTATTGATCGTATTAGTTGCTGGTAAACGATAGTAATAATTGATAGTGATGGTGAATGATAATGATAATTGGTGATGTATAGTCATGGCTGATGGTGGTAATTGTCGATGGTGATTGATGATTGTAACGGTGGTTGGTAGTGTTGATTGCAAATGGTGACTAATGACGGTGACTAATGACGGTGACAACTTACTACTGGGGTGATTGCGATTGTGTGGTAGTTGAAGTGAAAGTGGAAGTCTTGATGGATTATCATTTTTATAAAAAAATTTGAGTAGGCAGCTTAATGATAAATTGTATCATAGATCTTAATTATTTACATATATTCAGACCCTAAGGGGCCGTTTGGCCATGTAATTTGGACTTCAAATTTAAAGTTTTAATTTGAGTATGTGCTTGTTTATGACATTTGAACAAATTCTCAACTTCAGTTTCAAAGTTTAATTTGGAATTCCAAATTCACCAAAAAGGTAGAATATCATTTACAAGTATGCAATTTCAATTTTTAAAAATTTGAAACAGAGTCATAAGTTTATATTTTACAAAAATAAAATAAAAATAGACAAATCGTCTAAGCACCAGTAGATAGAGTTATCAGAACCTGTGTTAGTGGGAGAGGTAACATGTATCATGTGGAATTAGTAGAAGTACGTGCAAACTTGTCCCGAGCATCAGCTATATAATAAAAGAAACAGAACTACTGCTAATCAGTTCCCCAAGACACTTTGAAACAATCTGAAAAACAAGAGTCAAGACATACCAAAAACAGCCAAAAATGAAGGTTACAATGAGAAATTGTCAGTATCAAATAAATATGATTACACAACTTGAGGTATCAAAATTCAACAATGGACTGTGCCACGGACATTGAAAGAACTTGCATGCCAAGCAGATAATCTTAAAACATAGATTAGGAAAATCTCACTAATTCCTGAAAGAATGTATCGAAATAACTTAATCTCCAAAAAGGACATCGGTCATTCTAGTTTCTGTAGCAATATTCTGCCTTCAGATAAAAGGCACAAAAAGTGAATACATCTGAGTTTACAGGGTTTGGGCAGAAGAATGTTATCCTCCCTGTGCCGAAAACTAAACTCTGGACTGCCCCAGCTTTCGTTCAAACAAATGCTTGAGGAGGAATACTTGTAGAAAACTAACACAAATAAGAGCTGAAGACTCAAAAAGAGCTTTGTACATTGCTCTCTTGCTCATTCCTTCATTCACTGCATTAGTAGGAATTACATCAGCATATTAAAAATATAATAAGCATTGGATTATGCACAATTTCATGATTCTAGAAAAAATTAGGGAGACTACTTTCACATAATGAAGTTCAAATTTGAGTTGCAGAAAGTGTCAAACCACATACTCCCTCCACGTCAATTTGTTTGTCTTACTTTCCTTTCTAGTCCGTTTCAAAAAGATTACATCTTTCCCTTTTTGGCAACTTTTAAATTCAAACTTCCCACGTGACATGTTTAAGACTACAAGATTAAAGGACATTTTGGAACATTCTACATATCTTTAATTTTAAGATAACAAGATTCAAAAAGTCTTCTTTACTTTCTTAAACTCCGTGGCAAAGTCAAAACCAAACAAACAAGTTGAAACAGAGGGAGTAATATACACTATGAAATCATCTTCTCTTATTGTGTCTCATTGAGTCAACCCGATGCAAATCTATACACGGGAAGGAATGATATTCTCTTGCTGTGCCTCATTGACACAACCCAACGGAAACCTAATTGTTACCGTGTCACTGTAAAGGGAAGTATTCAAACAACTGAAACCGGGATATATAATGTAAATCCCAAGAAAACAACTGCAAAAGTGTACTGCATCAATAGACTTAACTTACAACACGGTTCAATTTACATCAACTTGAAGTTCATACTGTTTGTGGATGCCCATGTTGATGAGAAGAAGTGAACAGTGTGGCTCAGCTGATTAACATTTGCCGCAAATTAACTTTAAGTGGGTCACAGGCATGACTCATGGATTTTCCCATCAAGCATTTAAATTTGATCTACTAAACACTGAAGAGATAGACATCCAAAAAGAAGAAACTAGAAAAGGAAAATTATCCTATACGACATGCAACCTAAAGGGAAACGAATTTTGATTTTGTATCACGAGTATTGATGCAGTTGAAGCTGCATCATGTAAGAAATCATTAGCGAAACAAGTACACATTATATTGATACCTATTGCTTGACGGTCTGTCTGGGCCTCTAACCAGTGCTGCTCAAACTGAATGTTGTACAAAGCTTCCTCTAGCTTTCCGATGTGCTCAAACAAAGGCTTGAAATGCTCTGCAGGTCACAGACTAATCAAGTTAATTCTCTAATATAAAGCCAAGACTTACAATAAACCAAAGTAGAACGCGTACCATCTTTTGCATGCTCATCATGGTATACAAAGTGAGCAGCATGTAGATCGAAGTCAATGGTTTCATGATATGGCGACTTGTTAGTGAAACAGAAACGATAAATTCCTTCATGATGAGATGTAAACTCAGACTTCTCGCTTATTTTGTCACGAAGATCATGAATCTGTTCTCCAGAAGGCCCCTTCACCTAAAATCCCACCATCTCAGCAACATCAATTCAATAATCCTAGTACAGACAACTGACTAAATGATGGATAAAAGCCTAAACTTCTCAAGCAGAAAATGTACAACTTGACTATAGAAGATTTCCTCCTCAAGAAAGCATGAAGAACTCTTTTGCAGAACTAACAACTACACAGAATCTTAAGAAAAAACTGAGTCGAGTACTCTTTGTACCGATATGCATCAACCAATTTAAAGCTCTGACATTCGAAATTTCATGAATATACAGCTGCATACACTCTACTCTGTCTTGAACATATAATCAGATGTGTGTGTATGCACTTCTTCCTTCTGGTGTGTACGAAAGGGATGGAGTTATTCAAAAATACACAAAACACAGTTGATCACCGGATAGAGATGGAGTTATTCAAAAATATACGAAAGTTGATCACCCGATAGCTTCACTTTTTGATAATAATGATGATTAACATATAGTTTTCTACATATTTATATTTTAAATTTTAATTATGTCAATACGCGGTAGCTTTCTGGAATAGAAATAAACATACAACCTTGCTAGTTCCAACTTTTTATTTTACAAAATAACAATGCCGGTGTTCTGAATCCACTTCCATTATCACATACATAATTAACTTAATTAATACAGAGTCTTGATACAACTAACTACCATAAATTGGTGTTTTTACTAGTACTTACCCAGATTTAAATGCATAAGTCGAATTTGGAGCATTTTAAAATCTTGGAGATTCAACTACAAAAATATTAAGGTATAGAAATTGGTACCACAAGATCAACACCGTCATTACTGTGATGCCAATCGCCTTCAGACTTGATAACAACAAATGAATAATGAACAGTTTCCCCCATTTCAACCTTATGAGAAAAACATTCTTCTTTTTCAATTACAAATCTAATCCCAAATGCACCTTTCATGTTCAATCCAATCACCAATATTGATATTGTAATACAGATCCAAACTTGACATAACCCATTTCTCATCTGCCATTAAAATTCAAACTTCAATTTTCCAAATCCAACAAAAAAAAATTAATTAACAAAAAAAAAAAAAAAAAACTTAGGCTTACCATTTTCTTGAAAAAAAGTGGAATTTTGAAGAGGGAATCGCAAGAGTTTGACCAAGTTAAAACATCAAAGTAAAAAGGACGTGCGAAGATGGAATAAAGTAGATGTTTTGCCCGACACAACAACCCGTTTTGAAGTTGCAAGTTGGGAACTTGGTTATGGTGTACTTCCAAACCTCAACTTAAACAATTATTTCATGTAAAGTAATTTTAGTTTTTTTTTTTTTAATTAAGGGAACTACTTTATTTTATTTTCTTCTCTTAATTGAAAAATGAAAAATTACCTAAACACACGTCTTATTTTACTTTAATGTCTAAAATTCTCTACCATTTAAAACTTTTAAAAAAATTCCCTCTCGGATACATTATTCCCCTCTTTCATTGATACATCCTTATCCTCCTCTCGGAGATGTCCTATCCCTCTCTGATACATCCATCTCCTCTCAAATACATCCCTCCCTATGTATTCAGATGTCCTATCCCTCTCTGATACATCCCTCTCCTCTCGAATACATCCTTCCCTTATGTATCTGGATGTTTGTTGATGTATCCGGAAGTCCAGTGATGTATCCGAAATTCATAAATTTTAAGGGATTCTTGTAATTTGGAAAAGAGTAGGAAAATAATGTAATTAACTCTTAACATTATGAGATTTATGTAAATTATACATTTAAAAAGGTGAGGTTTTTTTCAATGATATTATTTAGCATTATATTTTTATATGAAATAATTATTTGGTGTAGCTAACTTATACATAATATTTATTAGGGAAAATTACTCAACAAGGAAAGCATATCATATGTATTTACGATAAACCACTATAGTATAAAAAATTACAATTCGTAGCTATATGTAGGGTTTTATAGCAAATCTCTCTCGCTCTCGCCCAACAAACATCCACATAAATATTGTATTTTGTATTATGTATCAAATGTATTTGTGTTTCATATCAACAGTCTTTTTGTATTATGTATCAACTGTATACGTATTTTGAATCTATCATATTATGGCAATTTGTATTCTTCTACACAAATTGTGTTCGTTAATACAATTGATACAATCATATGCGATCTATGATACAAATCAATTGTATTCAGACATTTGTATTTGTATCAATTGTATTTGTACTCTGTATGAATTGTATTCGTGATACAACGAATACAACATCTCTCCTCCCTCTCTCGATCTCGCTTGCCTCTCTCCTCCTAAAATGAATACAATCGTATTCATTTTGATACAAATCAATTGTATCAATTGTATTCGTGATACAACCTGATACTACGAATACAACATGTATCTATCCTCTCTCCTCCCTCTCTCGATTTCGCTCGCCTCTCTCATCCATCTCCTAGTCCCGCTTCCCTCTCGCATCCCCCTAACATATAGGTATAATATGTAATTAAGATAACTATAACTATATATCTCAAATTAAGCACAAACTATAGTCATTTTTGAAAGTTTCCCCAATTATTATTGGTAGGTATATTTTTAGAATGAAACAAGTGATAAGTTGGCGACAATTAATACGATAGAACGAATGAATACAAGAGATACAAACTAGTAACAATTGATACAAGTGACACAAGCTAGTAACAATCGATATAGAGCGAATAGATACAAGTGATACAAGCTATAGTAACAATTAATATAGTAGAGCAAATAAATACAAGTACAGTTAAAACAAATGAATATAAATGATACATGTAACAATTGAATAGTAATCAACTATAAATTGTAATTAGCAAGCATTAGGTACGCATGGTAAATATCCTCCAAATTATAGCATAGCGGGCTGGGTTGGCCGCCTAACCCAATTTAGCTAAGTAGAATGAGAACTGTGATAGCACATGGATGATAAATAATTTCACAAGTAAAAATTGAGTGGGCTAGCAGTTCTTTAGATTGATATTACACGTATAGAATTTTAAAAAAATAAGGTATGATAATTTCCATGTGATATTTTTTTGTCATTTTATATACTCATTTTCTACTCGATAATTTATTTGTGCTTCATGTGATGTTGCACTTCACGTGATGGTAAACTATATTATTAAGTTTACGGATGATCATTAGATAATATGCGTTTTTCTTTTTCATTTTGAACACCAATGAATCTTTGATGTCATCAATTTATAGATATTTGTCCAATTAATTACAAGCTACATATATGAGGTTTAAAGGGAATGAAAAGGGATATTTAAAGATATAGAATTTGTCTTTAGATACTTGCATCGAATTGTCAAGAACATTTTATCCAACGGTAAATAGTAGAAAATCTCACAAAGGTAGTCACACTCATTAAATCTTTTGGCTTTGAGGTAATGGCATTACAAATCTACTCTCATTTAACATAATGATTTGGGTGACTTTGTAGGTAAAATATCCTTAGTTAAGTGACTTTGATGTTATCAAAGAAAGTTATTTGACTTTCTGAGAGAAGATTCCTTAGTTAAGTACTTTTGAGGTTATAAAAGAAAGTTAATTATGTGAATAAAACTTGGAATTTAGTCTGCGGGTCGTCAGAGCTTATCAACATATGCCTTAGAAAGGCGAAAATGGTGCATTTCCTTTAAAAACCAAGTTTCCATTAGTAAAAACTACTAATTTCGTTCCCTTGGAGTTAAAATAATAGAAAACGTAGTAATATCTAGTAAGTGTATCAAAAACCTCTTTTCTTTCAAATATCATAAGCAATTATGTTATCAGTATGCCATGAGCATGATTTTACACCAACTCCAACAAGTCATTCTCAAAAGCAGCCATACGACACACACAATCGGGTAAGCACCCGTCATCCCATAGTCGTACTAACCTGGAACTCCATCTAGTACAAGTCCATGACCTCAAACCCTAATCAATTTAATCAATAAAGTGATAACTCAAAACATAACTCAAAGGGCATACAAAACACCAAAGCAACCATTGTACATACAATCTAAGTTCCATACCACCTAAGAGCATTCTAAAGATCTAAAACGATAACCAAGCCAAGAATCAATCTAAACTAAGCCTTATCGACTAAAATACTAAGCTAAATAACCAGAAATGGATAACAATATCATTAAGGATCAAGCACACCTACGTACTAATTCTAAAACCATCCTAACTATCAAACTACTCAAATGTATATATAAACATGCTAAACAAAGTCTAAAACAGAGAAACCATAACCTACCTCAAAGCCGAAATTGCACTCAAACCTCTACTCGAGTGTTTTTCCTTCCGTACAGCCTCATAACACTGCCACAATTACAAGAATATAAAGTACAATTCAATATGGGACGAACGGTACCCATATCATAGCTAAGAAACTTGTATAAAAATAAGGTAAAAATTGATTTTCGAGTGTCGTTACGTAATTGAGAAACTAATTCTATTATTATGTTCCCCTCGAGATGAGGATTACATGCCCGAAAGTTGGGTGAAGACTGAATTAAAATCAGACCACAAATGTTTCACATACTATTCTTGAAGAATTCGAAATCAAGAAAAATTAAGGTTTTAAACGGAAAGAGTTACGAAAATAAAGCTAGAATCTACTTTAATTTACTAATTAAATGAGAGAATTTTTTTACCTTTGAATCACTTCAATCGGTCAGGAGACGGGTAAAAACACTTAGAACAGAGCTCTTTGCAATGGGGTTCTTTTCTTTGACTAATGAAAAAGGAGGAGGAATTAAATCCCCAGCAATGACCATAAAAGCAGTCAAGTGGTCCTTTAAGCAGCCATCGCTAAAGCCATCAGTTGGTCGCTAAAGCGGCCCAATTCCAAGAGGCGCCTGCCGCAAAAATGGTTAGATGACCGTTTATGGGGTCCCTACTCCCTCAAGACCCCTCGCTAAAACAACTACTTCTAAAGCTGTCACACCAGTAATTGTTGCATCAACAGTTGGAGCATTAATGCTCCAAACTATAAATGGACCCTCTGAATTCATTCGGGGGCCAAACAATGCAAACCACAAGTTTTACCTATTTTAGAACGATACTCCAGACTCTAACGGAGGTCGTCTCGTTAGAATGTTGACTCAAGTCAACACTTTGAAGGGAAACAACAACCAAAATAACAAACGCCACAAAATCATCCTGATCACCTCAGGATCCAAACCAAATTTCAGACCAAACACAACATTCCAAAGCTAATTGCTCTAACACAATTCCCATATGAGCGCGTTTACCAAGAATATTGATTGAAGTCAAACTTTGGCTAAAATTTAAAAGTTATTTCTAACGACACAAAACTCCAACTGAAAGCCTCGACACCATAACTAACCATCCTACTACACCAAAAATGAGCTTTTGAAAGTGATGAAACTAATGGAATCCTCATGCGACATCATATTCTATGGATGTTGACTAAAGTTAACTCTTTCACTTCATAAGCCTCCAAAATAGAAAACCTAGCACAAAACTCTCCCAACCACCTCGAGAAGCATACCACCCAAAATCTATTAGGAAGCTATGGGAAGGGGAAAAACAGTAAAAACAGGTCAAAAATATAGAAATGACTTCGAGGGTCATTACATGAGGATTGCCTAATAGTCTATACCATATAAGACAACCACTCATCTCATTAATTACTTGAGACATTTTTCATTCTTCAAAAAGGTTTATGTAAATCTTACTCTCTACAAACCTCACTTGTGGGATACTGATAAATATGTTGTATATTCTTGAAATGATTCACCTCTGCAAGTGTGTATTTACTAATTCTAGATCATTTAGAATCAATAAGAAAACATAACGTTCAGTGCCTTGTGGTAAGAGAATCCAAGAAAAGCTAACCCTTACATGGTTGTAGCTCCGCCCTTTGTTGTTGGTTGGTTTCGACTTAGGATCTAAAATGAACCCACTTTACCATTGTACTAAATACTTTCTTTGGTGCGAGCAGGGCCAAAACTTTATCTATACTTGTGTTGTCCATAAGACAAATCAAGTAT